CCGTTCCGGCCATGTTGTAATGTAATGTAATGTAATGCGCGTGCTGCCAGCTGAAATAAAGAAAATGAAGCGTCACTCGCAACGGGTTCGTCGGGGGTCAAAGTTGAGTTCGGTCGAGGGGTTGCGAGGGGGGGCGTGGCAGGGTCAGACAGGATGTTGGCAACAAAAGCCAAAAGTGCCACCGCGTAAAAATAAAACAACAAGGCGGCTCTTCAAGCCAGCGGAACATTCGAAGCCCAAGAATCGAAGGCATCGATGGCTCGGTAATGTTGGCGAGGTCAGTGAGTTTACCCCCTTCTACACCCCCTTTGACTTTTCCCCCCAACTTTTCCATATGTGTGTACAAATGCAGTTGTGTGAGTGTGAGTGCGAGTGCACTTATGTACGTGCGTTTGTGTGTGTGTGTGAGTATGCGTGTGTATGTGTGCTCAACACGTTCAATATTTTATGGTGTCGCTTACAGGCAAAATGGGAGCCAAGCAAACAGATACCGAAAATCGAAAAGAACATAAGTAGTGCACAGAGAAAAATATTTCAATAAAATTCAATACACGATAAAGTTGGTAGTTCTTCGGGTTTTTAACTCAGCCAAATGGAAATGAAATTTCGTTTGGCCCTTTGTACGCCTATGTAAGTTTTGGAATATGAAACATAATTTATTGCCTTGAAATGCTTACTGTGTATTTTGGTACCGTAGTGCCAGATGAGCGAGGTGGATAGAACTGCTCAAACTACGCAGACTACGAAATTAATATGGAAATGGAATCCAGGTAAGGTACATCTGTAGATGCGCTATAGAAAGGTTACTAAGAAAATAAAATTCAAGGCCATTCAAATGTTGATTATTTCTGACTTAAATACATAATTGTATATGGTACAATATTTTCTCGATCAGATCGTGTCACGAACTCATACCCAACTCATAGTGAAAGCCATGAAAATTCAGCTGACTGCGGAGGCTTGAAACAGGTGGGGAGAATTACTGGCGTTTGAATGGCCAAATGAGGAAAAAGGCTTTTGGTCAATTGAAACGGCTCAAAGGGCATTCGGCCTGCGGTCTTCAGCCCGTTCGCATCCTTTCTCCGCTTTCCTTTCGCCAGCACTCTGCTTATACACGCTTTTCCTCTCCTTCTCTTTTTTATCGACGCGGCCATATAAATTTCACTCTGGAAAATGGTTTTTATTGGCAGCCAACAACTGACCCCAGCCACCGAGTCGGGCTCAAAAAGGTTAAATTTGGAAAATTGGTACGTGATTGGATTCAAAGCGCAAAATAAGTGCGTCAGTGGGTTCTCCTTCGGGTTTCGGCCTCTTTTTCACTTATGGGAATGGAAACATACCTCTTTTTTCTTTTTTTCCCCCCTTTTTTTTTTTTTTTTTGCTTTTGGCACGCCGCTCGCCACGATTTGTAATAAGAATGTGTTTTTTATATATTCTGTGGTCGAGTTCGAGTTCTGTGAAAAATTGGAGCTTCTGCCAAGCCACGATGATGATGATGGCAGGCATCCAATATCCAATATCCGTATACATATGGCGGCCATATCTGGCAGCTAGCGCCACAGACACACACACACACACACTCACACATACACACACACAGAGAGAGATCCCATAAGTTTAAGTATTTGTGGTCTTGTGTTTGATTGCCGGCCATAAAACGGTCATTTGTTTGTTGGCCAGTTTGTGACTGTGAGCCAAAACCAAAACCGAACCCCCCACCGAAGCGAAACAAAGCGAAGCAATGCGAACCGAACTGAACTCAACTCAACTGAACTGAACTCAACTGCCAGCTAATAACTGGCCATTGGTTTTTGTCCATTCCATGGGAGCAACGCACAGTGGTCGGTCCCATAGGCCAAAAATCAAAAAATCAATTTTGGAATTTTAATTTCAAGTTTGGCGCATCTGTTTATCAATAAAACAAGGCTTTAAAAGCAAGTATTAGTTTTGTCTTGCTCCACATATTTGCGGAGAAATTGGGGTGCAAAGTGAGCGCACAAACCCAGCGATCAACTGAAAGCGTGCGCATGTCTTTTGAAAGCGTTAAGTTAATAATTAAAAAAAATATAAAACAATCGTTTAATATCCGAAAGTGAAATGAATATTAAAGTTGAAGGTTTGTAGATTGTGTTTTTCTAATTTTTATTAATTTTACATGCTATATGTGACTGTGACAATAATTGTTTATCCACCTCAATTTTACAAGTTCTGCAGAACTAAACATCAATATTCTGCAAAGGTAAAAGTTGTGTTCCCAAAACTTCTCAATAATGAAATTTTTTTTTAAATGTTAATCGATATTTAATTAGTATTATCTGTGAAAATCATCTGCGAATAGCTGCGAATCCGTTCAGAATCTGTTAAAGAAGACGAGTACCTCGTTCCTTTTTCATCAGTTTTTGATTTTCTAGAGTAACCATTTCTAATATATATTGAAAAATTTATTTTTTATTACTTTTATTTTACTATAAATTTATGTTAATCATCGTTTTTTGTTATCTTTTGTTAATTTTTTAACCAAAATTAAGTGTTTAACAAATATAATTTTTGTCAGTTACGCTTAAAAAAAAGTGTAGTATGCATTTGGGAGTCAAATTTTGAACATTTTATGGTAAACACGATGGTAGCGGATATATTTGGCTTTAATGGTGCTGATACTTAAAATATAACATTCATACGCTATTATATACCTACAAAAAAAATTTCAACTCGATATTCCTACTGGAAGTATTTTTGGCCGCCTTCTCCATACAAGACCGACCACTGTGCAACGTGGCGTATGAGTAATATTTGAATAGCTCCCTCTAAACTTGGAAATGTGGTGTGTCAGCAACAGATGGCAATCGGGCAATCTTATTTGAAACTGAATCTGCAAATAAGATTCAGCATTTCAAAGAGAAAACTATGAAGCTGCAGTTGTAATGTAATAATTAGTTTGTTAACTACCCAAGTAAATCGAGATTGCGAAGATAAATTTGAATAATGCGATAAAATACATCGTTTAAATTGAATGCTGTAAAGGGCACTTAATTTAACGCAGGACTTAAATATTGTAACCAAATGGTTGTTACTTATTGCTGCGTTTTCAAAGAGCTTACATGTGGTAACCGAAGCTGCAAAAAACGTATTTATGAATCATCTGTATGTAAAGCAAACAAATCCTTATCCTAAAAATTCACCTGCTGCCAGTTTTTACCAAAAAGTCAGCGAAGCTTTAAGCTCAGCGAGCGAAATCAAATTGGCAAAATATTTGCCAAAATACTGGCAGTCCATCAATCGGGGGATAAGCCCGAAATCCGCTCGAAAAACGACTACGGCCATTATAGCGGAATATATATACTCGTACACGCACTGAACTGAACCGATAATCGGACTTACGTTGGCTTTGACCGTAGCCATTTGTCCGGAATTGATAAACAGCGTTAAAAAAAGCGCAAAAAACTCGCCCATCGATGATTCATTTCACTAACCAATCAATATAATTCGCCAAACAATTTTATTGTTTTTAATTAAAAAGTCATCGCAATATTGTTGCTTCTGGCATTTCCATAAACTTATTTATCCCTGAAATGTACGTATGATTATATATGTATATATATATATATTAATATATATGTATGTATGTGTGTATAGTGGACACAGAATTGCGTAGCGCTTATGCCACATGACAATTTACAGATTTATCTGTCACGATTTCCCTGCCTTTATTTTGTAACTGTTGTTGTCATAATTAATTGGCATTTATTATGCGTCGCAACAAAAAAAAAAAAAACAAAAATGAATAAAAAGAGAGAGAGAAAAGGCCATCAGCCAGAAATTTGTGATGCCTGAATTATGGGAACGGAGATCTGGCCGCTTTTCCATTGCCATCGAGGAGGTTGATGGCTTTTAATCACTTAATTGCAGCTAATTAGAACCGCAAATTCAATGAGCGCCGCTGACAATATTGGCTTCGGATTTCAAATCAATTCGAGCATTCGACTCAATGTAGAGGCCCCTGCAGCTCCATCCAGATGGATACACATTCGTGGCGCCACTTGCATCAAATGAATCATATTCTCAAGTGCCACGGGCTCTTCTCCGGGCACATCATTAAATCACCGCAAAAGTTCAGAAATGCATTTCATTTGAAAATCATGACCTGGCCAACGAAAGCAACAACAACAACAACAACAACAACAACAAAAGCAACAACAACAGCAGCAACAACAACCTGGCACTCTCGACATTACAAATTACAAGCTGCTGGCTGTCAGAGAAAATCGCAGAGTCAAAGGGCCAGGGGTCAGGGGTCATGGGTCAGAGGTTGGTTGGCTGCAAAGGAAAGTAAACGGAAAACTTCCACTAGCCAAGTTAGTTATTTAACTTGGCCAACTCAAAGAAAGAATGCTTATTAAACTGATGAGAAATATGTCCAAAGTATTTTATACAATTTAAATGCTAAATATTAAAATTTGTTTTATTTACTGTAGTAAAACCTTCAACGGAAGATAGCATCATAAAACCGTTTACCTCAAGAACAGGCTGTACTATATACAAATCTAAAAATTTAAGTGAACTTTCAAGGGGGGATGACTGAAAGGGGGCGTGGCATACAGAGTATGGAGGGGGGAAATCCAGCCAGGGAGCCTCAACGATTGCAATCTGCGGCGCTTCAGCGACGCTTAATGTTGCCTACAATCCACAATGTCAGCCATTTATCATTCGCCAGAGCTGAGCTCAGTTTACTGGCCAACCAACCGAATGACTGAATGACTGACTGGCTGAATGACTGACTGACTAAACGACTGACTGACTGGCTGACTGACTGACTCACTGAACAACTGACAGTTGAAGGAGGGCGAAAGGCGAACCAAAATTGGCGTTATGAACCCACGGCAGAATAAAATAAGTGAATGGAGCCAAGGGGCTGCGAAACTATCTCGGCAAATCCCATAAAGTAGGTCAGGTGGGGTGCTTTATCGCAGGAATTCCGCAAATAGAAAGGAAGTCTTACTTACCCAAAGTGAGTGGAGTACAATCGCTACTTTCTGCTGATCCAAGCCTAATGGAGGGTTCTGAAAAGACAAATTGATTAACCGTGCTTAGTAAATATTTGCGGTGATTAAGTTTCAATTTCAAGGCGAAATCTTTAAGCAACCTTAAAAACTTCAAATCCCATTCCAGCTCCCCCCGCTTTCTTCTCTTCTTTTCCTTTCATTCAGTTGAAGGCATTATCCTTTGTATGGCCGCATCTTATCACTTTCTTTGTCTCCGCCTTAGTTGCGTTAATTCCTTCTAATCTCTATATATATTTTTATCTTTTCGCTTTTAATTGCACGTCATTCTCGGGTTTTCGGTGGCGAATTAAATTTTATTTTCGTACTGCGACGAGATGGCCTATTCCCTTCTGCCGTTCGCTGATTAATTAAAGCGCTGTAGTAATGCATAAATTAATGTTAAGTAACGGTTGGCCAGATGGTCAAAAGCAGCTGACACTATTCACACACCGCGAGAAATCAGGGACAGGGGGCAGAGGGGAAATCGGGGAAGGGGTTGGGAAATATTGAGAGCAGCGCAAAATTGCAACCAAATCAGATCGAATCAATATGGTTGTAAATTTAGCAACCGCGTGATCTACTCGACTAACAAAGTTCCACTGGGAGAAAAACAATTAAAATTAAAACTTGTAAACTGAATCTTGACAATTAACCATTTTTTTTTAAGAAGTATTTCGTAAACTTGTTGTTCTATTTGAGGAAGTTTAACTGTTAGAATTATTTATATGGCCAATTTTTAAAATAACTTTTTTTTCCCAATTCCTTCGAGTGCAACATCAATTATAATTTACTGTGCTCTGTGTGCGAGTCGGTTTTTTCCGCTTCATATGCTTCAGGGGTCAATTTGGTAGATGCATTCAGCCATTGGGCTCATTACGGTCCCCGTAAAATGCATTTCCATCACTCCATCACTCCTGACAATTTGACATTGTTCGAACGGAAGCCTTGTCCGAGAATTCCTCTCCTAAATTGTAATTGAATGTGCTGGGAAATCGGTCGAAATTAATGCCATGTTTAAGCCGAGACTTCCTCTTTTGTGAGGCAATCGTCAAAGGGTTTTCCCCGAATTTCCAGTGAGCTCTCTTTTGGGGGAAAAGATTCGTTTTTGTTGCGACAAAGTTGCCACTTTGAACTCGGTTCAGATGCCTCCTGTGGCTCTCGGGCTGCTAATTAACTGCAAATTGGTTTTGCCGGCAAAGACATTTGCTTGCCACCTTCTGCCTTTTATTCGGAATCCCCTTACAAAAAAGGGGAAAAAAAATCAAGTGAAGTGTTCAATTTTGTTTGAACTGTGGGCTCTTTTTGGTGCTTTCCCTAATGGGTTGCCTGGGCAATTTCAAATTAAAATCAAATCTTTGTGGTACAAAATATTTTTATATCTGCTCCTGCGGTCGGAAAGAAACACGCAAACTGTCCACCGATTTCCGATTGCGGAATGCAGAACGAGTATTTCGATTGCCGATTCCCGATTGCCGATTGCCTGTTGCCGATCAATTAAATCTAATGACACGGGATTGCTGTTGCTTTTCCCCCGCCTGCTCCACTAAGTTTTAATTGCCGCTCTTTTGACCAGAAATCGAAGGCCATAGGCGATACACTGTTTGTTGTTTTGTTTTTCGGATATTGCAGGTGCAACATTGCGTTGCTGTGGTTTCCCATTGTGTTTGCGTTTGCGTTTGAAAGACACTTTCCTTTGTTAAATGCCCAGTTGGTAATGCAATGCACGTTTTGTTTTCCCTAGAAAATCTGGTTAATGTTCTTTGGATTTCCTGTGCTAATTGAATTCACCACCACACATGCGCTAGCTTCGCATTTTTAATTTAAAAATCTCTGCTTTTTTCGGACCCTCTAATGGGTCTCGGGCTTTTCTTGGCCTTTAATTCCAGTTAATGCCACTTAATTAATAACCGCAACTTTTGTTGTTATTGCCATTTACATTTCGCGCGGCACTCGCGGCAAACGCTTTTTGCCACTTCCATTTGTTTCGAATTGTAATTGCATTTGCCAGGCCATTAAAGTCTTAACAGATTAAATAAATAAATAACCGAGGAGTTCTGCAATTCCCATTTGCTTGAACCAGGCGAATATGCCGATGGGAATGGCATACGTATGTGAGTGGAATTTGAAGGGGAGTAAATGCATCCACATTCTGCTTACATAACTCAAATGGAGAAATGGAAATTCAAAACTCGGCCCGAAGTCGAAAGCTGAGAAATTTGCATACAAAAGTATCTGCTGCTGCTGGGAAATTCTTTGACTGCGGCCTTCTTTTTCCTTCGAATGCATGCCAAGCTTTCGAAAAAGAAAATCAAGAAAATGGTGAACGACATCGTTTTCCTCTCATTTTTTTTTTGTGTTCCCAGGAGGAACAAAGCGCTTCTTCGCTCTTTCTTCGCCGCCCATAACAATTGCAGCTGGCAAAAGATGAAGGCTAGTCGGGAACACTATTAAATACACAAGGGGCGCTACTTTTAACCCAAATCTGCGGGCACAAAGGCCAGTTGTGTGGGGGGTTAATGGGCTGAGGGGTTAAGGGGGAGTGGCATCGGTGGAGCCCACGGATCAGGCCACACATGAGCACAAATAATGCAGCGATGGCGGCCACGTGGAGCTTTGCCAAAGGGGCAATCCCGGGTTAACTTCGGGCTGTGTGTGTCCTGCTTAGGGGTTAAGGCGGCGGCGGGGGAGTGCCGTTCGAGGGGTTAAAGGCAGAGAAGCTCACTGCCAGCAACACTTTCCTGGAGACTGCCAGCCAGGCAGGCGTCGTCTGAGCGCCACATTGATATGAAGTTTAGGCACAGTGGTTTGCGGATGCAACTATCGGATTTATTTTACAGGCTTATCTATTAAGAACTACTTAGTTAATCTTTAGTTTTTAATCTACAAGTATTCTGAACTTATTAATTTGTGGCGGTTGGAGAAAGCAACTATCAAATATATATTTAACAAGCTCAACTGTTAAGTACAACTAAGTGAACTTTTAGTTTATATCTACAAGTATTCTGAATTTATTAATTTTTAAATGGTTCATATATAGTTCACGATTTTATAGATATCTTTTGAATTTTCAATTTTGCCAACATTGTGCTGTTGCCAACTGGATTTGGAGGCACTTTGGCAGTTGCCTTGCGGCATTTGGTTCAGTTGCAGATGCAGATTGCATATTGCAGATTGCTCGTGTTGCAGCGTCGTGATTAAGTCGCAATTTTTTATACAATATTCGCAAGTGAGTGAGGCGGCGCTGGGCGGGGAGGGGGCGTGGGAGTGGTTGTGGTAGTGGGTGTTCTGGCCACATAATGACATTCGCTCCTCGCCAGTCGTATAATGCAGATATTACAATATGCGGATTATTAGGCATTATGCATATGTCCCTTTTCGCCGCCTCTGTTTTTCACTCGTTTCACGCTCCGTCTGCCTGTTATTGTGTGCTAACAATTTCTATTCATAAAAGTGTGTATGTGTGGGTGTGTGTGTGTGTGTGTGAATGTCTGTGTGTGCATGTGGCATGCAAATTTATTGTGTATTTTTGCCGCCAAGTTGCGGCTGTCAACCCTTCGTTTCCCCCTTTTCAAAAGCTAAAGTGAGCTTTTGATTTCGGATTTGCATTTGTGAGGACGATAGCGATTGAGGGAAGAAAGGGGGGGAAGAGGTAAAGAGGGATGAGGGGGGGCTTTCAGGGGGAGGTATTGGGATTTGGGTGCCAAGGTCTCCGAACGTGTCATTAGCATTGCATTCAGTCGGAGCATAATCGCTCTAAAGAGCAGAACATCGTGGCTTAATACGATAGTTAAAAACAGCAAGAGTTTTTTGTATTTATTTTTTTTTGCGGTATTTAAACGGAACTAGAAGAGGAAGAAATGGCATTGAAAAACTGAATGGTTGCCAAATTTATATAATGGGAAACCCATTTACCTTATGGCTTCCCAAATTGTTTTCCCATTTAAAGTATCTATGATATTTTTCCATTGCCAAAACTCTTTTAAAAATTCCGCCATATATTTAATTGCCTAAGTGAGATTCAGAAATGTTCGCCTCCTTAGGATTTCGCTGTGCATTCGATTACTTTACTTTTCCATTCGTTTCACATTCATCTAACGGTAATCCCCGATCCTTAAGCTAATGATTGGCTGCTGCCGCCACGCCCACGCTGCTGCCCTTGTATTTGTATTTTTTCCGGGTTTGTTTCATTTAATTTGTTTTGGAGGCCACGCTGCGTATACGCAATGCGAGCACTCACTTTGTTTCAATATGCATGAGGCCTCACTTCCTCTTTTGCACGCATTTTCCCCCTCACTCACTCACACGCACACATGCAGGCACACCAATACACACGGGCAAACACACACAATCGCAGACAAACACACACACAAGCACACAAACACATATGAGCTGCTTGCATAGTCGGGCTCAAAGTCACTTAACCAAATAAATTTTTGCAAAGAGCAAAAAAAAGCGAAGAAAGCCATCCAGACGGGGGCGGCTGTTGGGGGAGGAGGGCGTGGCAGGCGGCTTCCTTCGCGCTGCCGTTGTTGTTGCTCAAGTATTTATTTTGCTTGAGTGCGCTACAGTTTTTAAGTTTGTTTGCACTGAAAACTCAAGGCACAACTTGCAAATATTCATTACAAACAAACAAACAAACACACAGGGGCGGTGGGCCAAAGGGGAGGGGCGGAGGGTGAGGGGGAGTTTGTGGGGCAACTGAAGCCAAAAGGAAGTAGTCTCGCCTCGCTTTCTCTCGACAGCGCGAACTTAATGTGATTAAAATTGTATGGCTGTCGTTGGCTGCCTGCCTGTTGGAATGGGAAAATCCGGAAAACGGAGGAGCTCCTGTCCTACCCGCACCCCCCCGGCTTTCCACCGCTTTCCCCACCTTTCTTGCCAGGCATGCTTAAAATATCTTTGGCCGACAGCAGTTCGACGTGCCGATACCCAAGTTACACTCTCCAATCCGCTGACTTTGGCCTTCGCTCGTAAGTATGCAACGATTTTTGGCAAGAAACGTTTTTCTACAATTTAAG